AGAGGAACTTGTAGCCTTCCGCTTCCCAATTACCTCTTGTGGCTCGATCCAGCAGGTGAGTATTGGAGGGTCTGGCATTCTGTCCCTTTTTAATGGGCCAGCTCCCTATTAAACAGTGCCCTCCATTGCAGGAGGAGACCGGAAGCTTTGTGTATGAAACGGACATCTTGGGGAAGAGGATGATTCAGACTGGGCCACAGGGCTCAATAACCAGGGACAGCACCTTCAGGTGAGAGGGCAGTGGGGTTTGTTGGTATGTAGAGGGAAGGGTTACTGACAGAAACTCCACCTCTGTGTGTCTCTCAACAGCCTGCACGTCCAGTGCAAGTACAAGGGGGAGCATGAGGCTGGCTTACAAGTCAATGTCTCAGTTTACACACTCCCTCCACCACTAGCTGCTTCTGAAGATGGGATTCTGAGGCTGGAACTGCGAATAGCAAAAGGTAGTGCTGCCCTGCTAATAGAGCACTAGGAATGCACTCCTTCAGGGAGTGACTGGTTTGTTCTTGTTTCTGTTAGATGGCAACTACAGGTCGTGGTACAAGGACAGTGACTACCCCATTGAGAGAATCCTTCGGGAGTCGGTGTTTGTTGAGGTTCGTGTGAAGGATCGCGCTGACCCGATGATTGTCCTGAGATTGCGTGACTGCTGGGCAACTCCTGTGCCAGCCCCTGACCATGAGGTGCAGTGGAGTCTCCTGGTGGATGGGTAAGGACTCTGAATGGAAAGGCTAATGGCTTTGTCTTATCACAAAGACCACTATCAATCTGCTCCTGTCAAGGCCACTGTTACTGGATAAACGTTTCTACGGCCTGGGAGAGTAAAAGCAGAGTCAGTAATGCAATTGATCCAGTTTGTGTCATGAACTAACCTCTTCCAATAGCAGCCTGCTTGCACTTTGCAGAAGTTGCAGTAAAAGCAACATGGCTTTGCACTGATGCAATGGCCCAGATTCTGTGAACTTAGAATGGGCAATGTAGATCTCCTAGAATGCACATATGGACATAATGCAAGGACACAGCTCAACATGCTGTCTATCAGACAATAAAAGCCAACTACTCTAGACACTGGAGAAACTGAGTCTGGCAACATCTGTAACCTGAGATCCCATGCAGATCCTTCGAGGTCTAATCAGCCTGTTTAGTCATGTTAGACCCTGCCCCATTCCCAGAACAGGTGCAACTTAGACCCAGAGGTAAGGCCAAGAAGTAAGGACACTGCCACAAGAGGCCTTGTGTGTCCCCCTGCAGCTTATGATTCCTGTGCTCTGGAATGACTAGTCAAATTTACCTAATTGTTTAAATTGGGGTCATCTGGAGCTCTTGCTTAGTTCACATTTTTTTTCACCTGAAAAGTGCATGAGGAGGTTTAGCGCCACATTGTTGGATAGGTTTTAATTTGCATTTGAAAACTGATTCCAAAGAAGTTAGTGAGGGCCCTCTTCAATCTCCCACTTTTTTTCCTCATCTGGGAGAACCAACTGGGTTAGAGCAAGGGAGCACAAGGGAAAGTATTCACTTTTGAAGCTCCCATCTGGTCTTGTTTTATACTGCCTAAATGGCCAGGATGTCATTGCAGTCAATCAATATGTCTCCTACTGCCACTGACTGAACCTTCCTGTTTCAGGTGCCCCTATGAGGGTGATGACTACCTGACTGTCCTACACCCAGTAGATGCCTCTTCTGGCCTGCAGTTCCCAACCCATCACAAGCGGTTTGAAGTGAAGACCTTTGTTTTCTTGGATGGAGTGTCTGAGCAGCCCCTCTCTGGACAGGTAACCAAATTCTCAATGAGACTAAGCTTGTGCAATCATCTTGCTGGCTGTTTGTACTACAACTTGGACTTCGCTTCAAGAAGCTCCCCTAAAATCTCTGCTTCTTTCTAGGTGTACTTGCATTGCAGTGCTGAGGTTTGCTCTCCCTCTGATCAGGATGACTGTGCACCCAGATGTGGTTCAAGTGAGTTCCTTTATTCTGTGGAAGGCCGGTGGTGTTTTAAATGGCCTTTATTGAGAAAGTAATGAGCCGTGTGAATGAAGGAGAACTTGCAGATGGCCTTTTGCCTAAAGGCATGTGAAGGTGCCACAGTAAATGAACATGTAGTTTCCCTACAGTGGAAACAGGCCATTTGGCCCAACAAATCCACACCACTCATCTGAAGAGCATCCCTCCTGGACCCATTCCTACCCCTGTATTTCCCATGTCTAACTCTCCTAACCTAATCATCTTTGGGCACTATGGCCGATCCACCCTAACCTGCACATCTCTGGACTGTGGGAGGAACCTCTCGCAAACACAAGGAGAATGTGCAAACTCCACACAGACAGTTGCCCAAGGCTGCAATCAAGCCTGGGTCCCTGGTGCTGAGGCAGCAGTGCTAACCACTGAGCCACTATAGTGCAGGCATGGAATATCAAGAAAGGGACCTTCTAGTTGTAATAGAAAACATGCATGAATGGGTCACCTAAGCTGGCAAGTGAATGTTGGAATTCAGTTCATGCAATCTCTGGGTCCTTCACAAAAGTAAATGTGCAATTGATGAATTAGATTGCAGACATGGATATAAGTTGTGAAGAGAATTGATGGGTAGTAATGTCACTGCACTAGCAATCCAGAACTCCAGGCTAATGTTCAGGCGGTCTGATTCAAACTTCACTGCAGCAAGTAATGAGATTTGTGACTGTTTAATTGCTGTGAACATTTTTAAGGAATCCTTTCCTTTTTCAGGAAGGGTGCTTTCTGTCCTGGCCTGGCTGAACCGATACTTGTCTCCAGACCCACAGCAATGTGCTGACACTCAATTGCACTGCCCCCACCCCCAACCCAGGCTGCCAATCCACTGGGATGGGCCATAAATTCTGGCCCTAACAGAGATGCCCCATCCTGTGATCTAACCCCCCTTTTTTTAGAGGGGTGCAGTGGGCAAGAATTTGGTACTGACATACAAATGAGTTCTCCCTTGGTGTTCTATTCTTCCTGCTTTCTCTGGGGGAACAACAGCAGTAAATGCTCTCCATGTCTCCATTAAACGGATCATGGTTAGTTTGCAGGTGCAGCAACCAGTTGGGAAAGAATATACCGTGGGAGGTTTACCAACAATTCTTAGAAGCACCAGACATGACATCTACTCCATGCAATCGGTTGTCACCTTTTCTATGTCCGTACATGAAACAGTTCAGAAGCTTTGTGGGTCGAGTTGTGGATAGTGCGGACAGCTGTTCTCGGTTACAATGGGATGTTGATCAGATGCAGAGCTGGGCTGAGTAGTGTCAGTTGGGGTTTAACCCTGACAAGTGTGAGGTGTTTCATTTTGGAAGGACAAACTTGAAAGCTGAATACAAGGTGAACAGAAAGATTCTTGGCAGTGTGGAGGAGCAGAGGGATCTCCGGCTTCATATCCACAGTTCCCTGAAAGCTGCCATCCAGGTGGCTAGTGAAGAAGGCGTATGGTGTTAGCTCTCATTAATAGAGGGATTGAGTTCAAGAGCCGTGAAGTTATGCTCCAGCTATACAAAAGCCTGGTTTGGCCACATCTCGAGCACTGTGTCCAGTTCTCTTTGCCTCATTACAGGAAAGATGTGGAAGCATTGGCAAAGGTGCAGAGGAGACTTACCAGGATGTTGTGTGAATTGCAGGGCAAGTCTTAAGAGGAAAGGTTGCAAGCTTGGGCTTTTCTCTTTGTCATTCTAAAGGATGAGAGGTGACTTGATAGAGGTACAAAATGATCAGAAGTATAGAGAGTGGCTAGCCAGAGACTTTTTCCTAGGGTGGAGGTAGCTGTTACAAGGGAGCATAGTTTTTAGTGAGTGCAGGTAGATATAGGGGAGATGTCCGAGGTAGGCTCTTTATTCAGTGGTCGGGGTGTGGAATGCGTTGCCGGAGAGGGTAGTGGAGTCAGCCTCGTTAGGGGCATTTAAGCAGCTATTAGATAGGCATATGGATGTTAGTATAAGGTAGGGGCGGAGGTGAGATAGACCTTTTAGGTTTAGGGTAAAAA